GTCACGCCAACGTAGCACGCCACCGAAGTCCCGAATTTGACGTTCACCTCCACACCCACACGCACGTCCCGCACGCACAAGTCGGCGCCGTCAGTGCTCGGCGGCTCGGGGACAGCAACGGGCAGGCACGCATCGCCGTAGCCGCCCTCAGCGCATGCGCAGGCGCAGCCATCACTCGAGGCCGTCGTCGTGTACGCAGGGAAGCACGACGCCGCGAGGGTGCATGGATCGCTGCAGGTCAAAATGGCGGCATTGTACACAGAAGGGATGGCGTAGTTCGCTTCCTCCTCGCCGTTCACGGTGTTGCACGCGGCCACAATCGCTCCGTTCGTGAGATCGCGGGAACTTTGAGGTATCAGCAGCATTGTCGGCGAGACCGTGCTGGACACGAATCGATTGCCGGACACAGACACCGTGGAGTCGCGGAGATTCACTTTGGGATAAAGAAAGGCAAACGCTTCCGATGGGGATTCACGGCAGAGGTTGCCGCTCAACTGCAGCCAGGAGTTGTAGTAGATGTTGGACGATTCGCTTGAATAAAACACAACCGAGCTTCCCTGCATCTCGTTGCCCTGAAACACAACCGCTGAATGGGACTCCACGTCTAAGGTCCAAATAAGTAACACGAAGCACTTCACCGGCCTCGTCACAAGGTTGCCTCGAATCACCACGGCAGAGTTGTTCAGTACACTCAGCGATGAGGACTGTCTAGGTCCTTCAAGATATATCAGCGTACCGTCACCGCCAGCCATGTGAAACGTGTTGCCCACCACCGCAAACACGGAGTGCCACGACACCCTCAGCGCAGATCCAACAACGTAAATGGCGCTTGACGATGTCGTCACGCTCTGAAACACATTGCCACTCAGCACCACCGCGGAGTCGTTGCTGATCACCAGTCCATTCATCACAACACACGACGGGCAGTCAGGTTCCAAACCCGGCCGAGGGATCGGCCTCGTGACCGTGAAGCGGTTCCCGCTGATCGTGATGTTTGTGTGCGGCGGAAACACACCCTCCGGGCTGAGCAGCGCGTCACTAAACGTGTTTCCGGTGACGAAGATGTTCAGCGACCCAACAGCGGCGTACGCGTTGCCCAACAGCAACAGCACGGCGCCGTCCCTCCACGTGCAGCCATCGAAATTGACATGCGCCACGTCGCCCGTCATCGCCCCAACCAGCACCGTCAGGCTCATGCCGCCCCCGCTGAACGTCACGTTGCGGTAGCACAGCCACGACAGCCCGCCGCCCACTGCCTGCGCAACCTCGGGGTACACCATGTCGCTGATGCACTCACCAACCGGCGGCGGTGACGGCGTGGGTGGTGGCAGCGGCGGCGGCGGTGGCGGTGGCGGTGGCGGGCCAGCAGGCACAGGCGCCGGGACACACACATCGCCGTGCCCTCCAGCAGCGCACTGGCAATTGCAGTCAATGACCGCCGTCGTCAGCGGAGCGAAGCAGTCGCCCTCCTTCGTGCACTCCCCGCACGCAGCAGCCGTCGTCGCGTTGGTGATGCCGTGGAGCCCCAGTTCAGCCGCCGTCGTCACCTCCCGTCCCGCGACCGTCAGGCACCCAGCAACGAACCGGTAGCCGGCGTCAGCCTGCGATAGCAGAGGTACCGACAGCCCCGTCGAGCCCATCTTGCAGCCCGTCAGCGTCACCACACTGCTGCCGTCGATGTTCACAGTAGTTATTAGGGAGTAATGAAACATCGCACCCACACCCACGTCGTTGTCACGCCAATCCAGCCAGCTTGAATGGTGGACGGTAAAAAAGCTTAGTGAATATATGGCATAGGACACGGAGCCGCTGTTCCCCACCACGCGCAGCACGCTGTGATCTGACACGCTGAATCCGTGGCGCAGATAAAGCAGGCTTGTCCCGGAGGACATTGTATTGTTGAGCAGCGCAAAAACGGAGTGGTCACTCACACTGAGGATATTCACGTAAAACATATGCATGTACCCAGCGAAGCTGCAGTACTGCACATACAGCGAGCTGCCATCCAACAGCGTCAGCGTCCCTGTCGAGTACAAACCATACCCACCGTACATCAAGGAATGAGCCTTGACGTTGCTGACCAAAAAAGAAGACGCACTCAACACGATGTTCACCAGTAAAAATACGCTCAGCATGTTGGTCCTAATGTGTGGCAGCTGGACCTCGGAGGACTGCACCGCGTCAACCTCCGTGACGGCGATGTCGCAGTGCTGCGGGAGGACAAGTGCAAACACAACGACGGAAGACCGCATTACAGTCCGGCTCACGCGGATCAGGACGCCGGCTGAATCGGCCGCCTCATCTCCCCCAACAAACTGCAGCGCGGCACCCCCACGGAATGTGCACTCAGTGAGCGTGATGTTGATGGGGAGATGCAGCGGCATACTGTCGAGGAAAAACGTCAGCACGGCACCCACGCCGCTGAATGTCACACCCACGTAGCAGTGGTGCGTCTTCCACATGTTCAGCGTAACGTTCGTCAGCGTCTGGTTCACCACGCAGCTCGTGTCGCCGTCAACGGCTCTCTCCGCCACGGGCGGCACAACCGTGTCGGGCACCTCGAAGGGAAGACACGACGCGCCATGCCATCCGTCCTTGCAGCTGCACGAGCACGAGCCGCGGTCCACCAACTCCGTCCCGGGCATGTAGCACGCCGCGTCGTCGTTGCATGTGCCGCACCTGAACACCACCACGCCCTCCGGAAACACATCGTCGTACGACACCTCCCCATCGCCCTGCAGGTTGCACCCAACCACAAACCGCGCGGGTAACTTCACGACAATGCTCGATGGGAGAAACCTGGCAAGAAAAGCCCTCGAGTCCACCCGACGGTTGTGTGCAAGCGCCACGGTGGTGCCGCTGCCCGACAGCTGAATTTTGTGCTGAAAATGAGGAATATTTAATACCGAGGCTGCACCCACGCTGTTGCCCTCCACACGCCACTGCGCACCTCCCTCGAGTGTCACAGAGCCGTCAAAATACACCAGCGCAGATTCAAACTCCTCTGTGCTTTCAACAAGGGTGCAGTCCGCCACTCGCAGCAGCCCCGCGGTGCTCACGGTGGTATCCCCAAAAATATAAACACCATTAGCAGCACTCATCGTGGTGTTCTCAACGTCAAAGTAGCCGCCGTTCCTCACATCAATAGCATTAACGCAAACAGATGATTCCACACCCTGACCCTCCTCCGTTGTGATCAGCGTATTTCCCTTCACAATGATCCCGCCACCATCAACGGCAGCATTGGAAATATATAACGCGCAATTACTCCCCTCCAAGTTGTTGTCAAGCAGCAGCAGCGTCGAGTTCACACCAAGAAAAAACTTTAAAAATAAAATGGCGTGGCTCGACGTCGTCACAAGCGTACTGCCCACCACCAGTATCTGGGAGCTCACGCCAAAATCGCCCTCAAACTCCAATGCACCAGAAGCCAGCATCGAGGATGTCACGCTCACGTGCACACGCGCACCACTCCCCCTGATCAACAGGCCCATTAGGACGCACTGCAGCAGCGTGATGTTGAGTGTCTGCTGTGGCGCGTCAAAATACGACAGGTCCAGCAACATCGCGGCGGTGAAGGTCACGTTGACAAGACACAGACCACGCACACCGGGATCAGGATAGTCCACGGAGCTGATGCTGCCACCGTGCACGCAGCGGACCTCCGTGTCCCTCGCGTCGGGGAGCGGAAGCGGTCCAAGGCCGTCCGGAGCCGCAGCTGGCAGGCACGTGTCACCGTAGCCGCCAGCAGCGCACACGCACTCACAGCCGCTGATGCTGCTCGTCCTCGCTGCAAAGCACACGGCGTCCACCGTGCACGCACCACAGTCCAGCACCGTCACGGGCGTCCCAATATTAAGCTCTCCTTGGTAATCCGTCACAGGTGAGCCTATTGCCTCGTTGCACACGCCGTAGATGGTCGGGCGCGTGTCGGATGGTGGTGACCAGTTGTTTGTCATGTACGCAGTGGTCGACGAGTACGAGCCGTACGTGAAGTTGTTGTCAAGTATCGACCACACACTCCGATCACAAAACGCCACACCGTTCTCATTGGCCACGTACACAACGTAGGCGGCGCGGAACTCGTTGTCGCGGTGCACCAGCCAGCTGCCGCCAGCCACGGTCAGCGTGTTTGCAATGAGCATGGCGAAGCCAAGACGGAAAGTGCTGGACACAATCTGCATCACGCTGCCACCATCCACCACAACGTCCCCAAACATACACGCTCCCTTGTAGTATTCGGTGCTCGGCGCACTCCACAAGCTGTTCTGTATGGAGAACACGGAGCCGCCGCTGACACGCAGGTCCGACGCAAGGGCGTGCATCAAGTGCGACTGCGACAGGACAGCGCAGTTGTCCATGTAGAAGACGCTGGACAGGCTCACGCCAAGGCCGCGCTCCACGAGGATCGCAGCGCACGAGCCCCCGCCACACACCAGCGTCGACCGCGTCATGACAAAACACGTCGACAGAAGGCGGACACCGTCCAGAACAAGCGCGGAGCCGTACCGGGATCCCGCGTGGCCAGGGGTCGTCGGCACGTACTGCGACCCGCCAACCGTCGCGCGCAGCGTTGAGTTCGCCAGCAACACAGTCGAGTGCAGCGGCATCGCGCCATGCAGCACGATCGTGCCCTCCAGCGACGTCACATTCGTCATGTTGACGAGAGCGTGCGGCATCAGGCGCGCCGTGATCTCGCTGAGGCCGCCAATCCGCAGCTGCGCGCCGCCCGCAAGCACGCAGTGGCGCAGCGTCACGTTCAGCGCGTCAGCGAACGCATCCATCAAGCGCAGTTCCACCGCCACAATGATCGGCCCGCCGAACACCACCGAGTCGAAGCACGTCGTCGCACGCCCGCCGCCAACCGTCACCGACTCCGTCAGCGTCACGCCACTCACGC